CAATAAGGTAATAAACAAAAATATACTCAATGAATATAGAATGAGCAAGAAGTATGTACATTTAAGGATTATCCAAGATTCATCAAGTTAAAACATCAACAACCTCAACATTAAATTGATCAAATTAAATGACAAACAAAACAACAGCAGGAACGAAGCAAGATTGCGCTAGAACTAAACAAACAAAAGACTTTTTCAACATATGTAAAGCATAGCCGAAATTATTCAGAGTAGATGCGTTATCTATTATATACCATAATAAGGAACTCATATGGATCAGGAAAGGTTTGCGTACAAAAAACACGTAGCGTTAGTGAAAAACCACGTGGACAAAAATAAATAAATTATTAATATATTAAATTATATAACAATATAAAGTAAACAAATCAGTGAAAATGATAACTTACTTGAGAGCACAATAACCACATCACGTCACTGACAAATACAGGATGATCACAGTCTAAATAATGATATGATCCAAGACAAACCAAGTTTTTCAATTTAAGATGTTTTATCGTTAAATCGTTAATGAATTTTATGGTTTAGTATCGATGAATATAAATAAACAAATCAGCTGAAAGGATCCACTGAGGTGTTAACACGTAGTGTTGTTAATAAACTATTTCTTATAAGTGAATTTGAACCTTGAGATACGGGGGGCGCCATGCAGGACAGCGGCCCCCCTCAATTTTGGTCAAGCTCAAAACTCAGGTTTTTGTACCTATAACTTGACGAAAAATGAGTTTTTGTGGGCACAAAACTCAATTTTTGTTCGTAAAATTTCGTCTCACAAAACTCACTTTTGTGCACCAAAACTCAATTCTGTCTCACAAAAAGTCAATTTGTGAACAACAAACTCAATTCTGTCAATCCTTGTCCACGAAAAACTCATTTTGCTGAACACAAAACTCAAATTCTGTCAATCCTGTCCACAAAACTCAATTTTGTGAACACAAAACTCAATTCTGTCAATCCTGTCCCCACAAACTCAATTTTGTGAACACAAAAAACTCAATTCTTGTCAATCCTGTTCCACAAAAACTCATTTTGTTCAGGCTCATTTGCATATTGTTGTCGCATTTTGTTGCCCAAGATATGGCACACGCGCATGTAAGAAGGGCCTTACATTCCGCGTCAGAACACGCGCCTGGAAAAAAAGGTCATAAGTAAATAAAAAACAAGATGGGGGACCGTGACACATTTGCTCCAGCCAGCTTCTGACGAATGGTAGCCCTTTCTCTTACCATGCGTGTGCTATTTGGGCACAAAATCGAAACATTATGCAAATGAGCTGACAAAATTGAGTTTTGTGGGACAGGATTGACAGAATTGAGTGGTTTGTGTTTCACAAATTGGAGTTTTGTGGACAGGATTGACAGAATTGGAGTTTGGTGGTCGTTCACAAAATTGAGTTTTGTGGGACAGGCATTTGGCAGAATTTGAATTTTGTGTTCACAAAAGATTGACTTTTGTGAGACAAGGATGAGTTTTGTGCACAAAACACATTTTTGTCATATGTTGATAGGCTACAAAAATGCCTGTCCTTGCATGGCGCCCCGGTATGAGTAGTGTAGGTTTTTTATATGTAAGGTATGTCACTCCAGTGTTTGACACCTACAAAACGTTAGAGATTTATCTTGCGCAAGAGAAGTGTTAACCTTCGGAAGATGAATAGGACATTGATCTTTGAAAGTCTAGTATAGTGCGGGAGTGTACTGAGAGATTACTAATAAAATAAGGCGGAAAAGGTCAGGCAGGTTCGTTGCAAGTAACACTGTATACATAAATTTTTGGTAGTTCTAGTTTATTGAATATCATTAAGTTTGAGGAGCCATTTAGAGAAATATAGGGGGTGACATGTTTCTTCATCCAGCAAAACTCATGAATATTTGATAATTCTACTTGTGGACTGGCTTGATTGGTTGAAGGGTGCGTTTTTGTCGCCTGACCCCAGCTTAAGGTCTGCATATAAAAGGTAAGGGTTAAACTAGCAAAAGTAAAGTCATCTTTAGCGTACTGACATTCACGTTAGTGTCCTGAGTTTTGAGGATAATTCCAGGGGCAGATTTAGCCAGTTTAGTTGCTTGCAAATAACTTGGAAATCCCACTTTATTTAGTGTCACAATGAACACCAGGTATTTTATTTAATATTAGCACGTTGTAGCGAAGTTATCAATGTGAATCACAAACATGTTTCATAATTTTACATTTTTGTAACTGAGAATTCATGTTTTTTAGTTTTTTCACAATTAAGAGATAAATCTATTAGCATCTAACCATCCTGACATGTTTTATTTCTCGATTTACATTTATTTCAGTTTAGTTAAATTTGAACTTGACATAAAAGATTCGTATCATCAGCAAATAATCCTGAACTAAAATTTGAAGCTAAGGGGAGGTCATTTACATAAATTAGAAAAAGTAGGGGACAAGAGTTTGCATCCCTGTGGAAAAACACGCACGATATATTTAGAAGATGCAATATGAGTCATTAATGGACATATTGTTTACGATTTGAGAGATAGCTGTGCAATAGTTCCAGGTTGGGCCTCTCACACCATAGTGTTCCAGTTTAGAAGCAGTATATTATGCTGACAGTATCAAAAGCCTTGCGACAAATCAAGAAGATTCCACACGAATATTTGCCTTCATCTATTGATTTAGGAGAGTATCATACAATTCAGAAATTGCCAGTGTAGTTGAATGATTTTTCTAAATCAAATTGAAAGGGAGAAAACTATCACATTTGACTAGAAACTTGTAGAGTCTGTCATATTATTTTTTCCGAATATTTTGGAAAAGGGGATTAAGAGAGATATGGGGGCGATAGTTTGAAAGGGTGTTTGTACAGTTGGCTTTGTAGATAGGTATTTTTTAGCAATTTTAATATATTTAGGGAATACAACCTCTTGCTTACGCAGTCATAAAAATATCACACAATATCCGAGCAACCTGGGTTTTTAGAGATCTTGATAAATTTATTAGAATATTGTCACGGTCTGCCGGCGTTTCTGGATGCTCAGGTTTTTTTATGATATCTAGAATCTCTTCCAAAAATGGGGTTAAAAAAGAGCTTCTGTGATTAGGGAGGGGAAGAAATTTTTGAGTGATCCTTCGTGGCATTTGGGAATTTTTTGCGATTTCGGGCCTACATTTGGTAGTAAGAGTAAATGCATTGCATATATCAGTCGTGTCTGTAGTAGATGTGTTGTCATTGTTTCAGAGTTTGTCTGGCAGGTACTGTGTTTTATTTTTTATATTAACTATATTATTGATAGTGTTCCAATTCTCTTTAAGTTAGATTTGATGTTGAAAGAAGTTGTATGCCTGCGTAGTATTTCTTTTTAGCAAAATAGACTGAATCACATAAAAGACCTGAGTATTGTTTGTAGAGTTTCTGCCAGAGAGTGGTACCATATTAAAGTCCATCAATACAAGGAAAAAAATGTTTGTAACTCACCATCTTCACGGTCCCTATCACGTAAAGAAAAACGACTTCACCTCAAACCGTGGATATCTAGTCTACAAAGAAACCGTTGATACCCACGCCCCATACAGAGTGATCTAAACACCAAAATTACTAACTTTAATTTTCATACTGCTGATGCAGATAGTGCACTTGACAAAATAGTTCAAATACAGTCGAATTTACTAACGTTGAAGTTCTTGTTGTCTCTGATCTTTACTTTTTTGTTAGTTAGTTTTAGATTGGCAGATTTCACTAGTATGAATATGGGCAGATGGTCGGAGACATCATGCACAATTATACCTGATACAATTCGATTCTGTTGGGTATTATTAGTATAAAAATGGTCAATTAGGGTTTGGCTAGTCGAAGTTATGCGTGTTGGTTTGGTAATTAAAGGAATGCACTCATTGGAGTAGATCATATTTAGGTAGCTATTAGTAAATTTACTGGTTTCATGTTTTAATAAGTCGATATTAATATCACCACAAATAAAGTTGGTGGTTTTCACTATGGTTTTCATTTTATTAAGTAAAACCAAGATGTTTTGTAAATCTTGTTCAAAGGGTTCAATATTATGGTTAGGGTGTCTGTAGATAACCCCAATAATGCATGGCTTCTGTCTATTATTAGTACTTATTTCAATCCATAGACATTCAGATTGTGTTAGTTTTAATGTTGTATCTAACATTATGTTAAAGTTAAGTCTTTTCTGTATGTATAAACCAACACCACCAGCATTTGAATTTGAATTGCTAGATATGAATGTATAATTTTGTATATTTGTATTGTACGTACTTAGATCATTTAGTTTAGTTTCAGAAATTGCAATAACATCTGGTAGGGTTGGCAGGGATATTAGTAGGTCATCAAGCTTGTGTAGGTTTTTCGGTAAACTACGGGTGTTGGCATGAATTATAAGAAGGTCCTTAGTTTCTTTAGTCTTGGTGAGGTCAGTGAATTTTTCATGTTTATAATAGGTACTTGTTTCTTGTAATAGATACTGGTCTGGATCGAATTCATCTTCTCTTGAGACACAGAGAGCTGGAGATTGAGTTAGGGATGGTAATTGGAGTAATTTGATTAGAGATGTATGATTGTCGAATAAGTTTAGCAGATCATCGTTATCTAACCTTTGGAACAGTAGTATATTTTCAAGACAAATATTGCAATGGAAAGTGTCATTAGTAGCTGATAATCTGTTAAATTCGGAGTGTGTTAGTTGAGTACATTTAAAGTGGCATCAATTCAGGCAGATGTTACATAGGATAGAATTCTGGTTAGATTTACATGCCTCACAGCAAACAACGCATGGAAATGTCATTGAGTAGGTCTGAGACAACGCTTGGGCTGTGGTAATATTTTAATTGCGGATTTGGGCGTGCGTGTAGCCTATTTTGGTCAGGTCACTGATAGATTTTATGTTTATTGCCTCAGAGGTGTCATTTTTTATTCTAACAGCATGTACGAATGGGTTGCACTTTCATACATTCATGGGCTCATTTCAAAGCCTCTTGATAAACAATGCAGTCGTAACCTCTGAACAGGCTCCTGGTTGTGCTCTGTTTTAGTATCGGTTTCGGTTTGACAATACCAGCAGCTGATGGAATGAGTGATCGATTTTTCTGTGTGTGGCAGCACTGTACAGTCAGTGCTGACATTGTGTGAA